AGAGAGAGAGGAAAAAGAACACATCCAAACACAACATCTACACCTCCACACACAGAGAAGTGAAAGAAGAAGGAATGGGAGAAGAGAAGGAATTATATACTAAATATGAAGTACAATATAATCAAAAATAAAAAAGAAGAACATCATTCGTTCTATGATAGGCAGTTTTTAAATTTGATGTGTGCATATGACCAAATAATCTCAATTGTTTTTTATAATAGAAAATGTAAATTGCCCAGGGAAACTAAAAGTATAGCTCAAAACCATTGAGCTATGAGTTTCATTTCACATGAACCTTAGACAAATATTCAAGAAAAACGTCCCTCTAATTTATCATTATATCTTAGATGTTTCAGTTCCAAAGGAGATTGTAAAATATGATTTGTAAATTTATCATGATCAAGTGTCTTCCGTATATCTTTATATGCACATTTGCATATATGTAGATCTCAAAAAAAAAAAAAGCTCAAATTTAAGTCAAAGTAGCTTGAAAGTAACTTACAGGCATTCCTATCATAGGTAGCAACTTCTTGATAACATCATTCACCGTCTCCAAGTCTGTTGTTGTTACATATAAAGGCTATAAAAAGTGCAGAGAAAATGCTATAAAATAACTTAAAAGCACACAATTAGCTATTGTCTAATCATCACTTATAATCTATGGGCTATCATGACAACTCTAATGTAGAATAAATATCTTGTTTTCTTCCCTTTATATACCATCATGCTGGAGACTGTAAGTCTAACATATATACTTCAATTTAAGTGCGTGGGTACTGGGTATTCAAACATAGCAGGTAACCAGGTTTTATGATAAAGGGAGACTGTGGAGCCATTGGTGCTGGAACTCAGCGTTGTGAATTTTCTTTCCTTATTGGGGGTGGGGGTTAAAAAGAGGGCTGATGCTTTTCCTTCCACCCCAGCTCTGCCTCCATCATGTTACAGCTTTATTTTCCTGCACATCATGTGTGCACATCTAGGAAAGTCAAGATAAGAACTGGCTGCATTTTTTCTGTCTTTTCAAAATACCAATATGGATGAGCACTTTCTCCATGTCAGGCTTTGCAAATAGATGATATTCAGTGTAGAAATCTGTTGAGGTCACAAATTCAGCTACACTGAACCTGACAGAAGAGAAAGTAGGAAGTAGCCTTGAATGCATCGGCACAGGAGACTGCTGTGGGATGTTAATGTATGTCCTGTGGGAGCCCTTCTTGGGTTCCTTGTGG